GAGTAAATTGTAAATTTTTTGTTGGTGTTTGGATTGAAATTTTGTGCAATTTTGGGCAGGATAATGTGTTTGTGCAATTGGTCTGCTCAATTCAATACAGGGTGGTGAAAGAGAATGCTGATGATGCGTTTTATGAGCTGCAAAACCCCAAAGAGCAGATTCAAGCTTATGTCTTTGATGGTATTTTCCTATATTGGCTAATTGGGTTTTTAATTTTTACGCGAATAATTGAATTGAATTGTGTAGTGGTTCGAGCTCTGGTTCCGAGAATGACGCTGGACGAGCTCTTTGAGCAGAAGGGTGAGGTTGCTAAAGCCGTGTTGGAGGAGCTTGAGAAGGTAACATATGAAATGATTTGTTGAAGTGTTTACTGTATTCGTGATCGTTTTGACGGTAGGATGCTTGATTGTTACTATTTTATCGTTGCAATGCTTTGAATTGAATGAGTTTGAGTTCAATTGGATTGTTGTGATTGCTTCTCAGCTGTTTGTTTTGAGCGAAATGTTGTTGTTTATTGTTATGTTTCCTTCTATCTGAAACTTGTATAACAAGAAATGTTTTGTTTTACATGATTTCTTACTTTGTATGCTGAAATTGCTGATCAGGTTATGAGAGGATATGGATACAGCATAGAGCACATACTGATGGTTGACATTATACCTGACGCCTCTGTCCGCAAGGCAATGAATGAGATCAATGCAGGTACAATTTTCTCTGATTCGTTCCCTGATTTTACACATGCAATTGTTTGTGCTTGTAGTTGCGGTAGGAAAAGACATGTTTTGGGAGTTAGTATATTGTTGGAACATGAGTCTCCGTTAGCCCCAGGTTTTGAGAACAAACATTTTGGAATGGTTATGTGCTATGGTTTACTCAGTTGCGTCTCTTCTGATTTTTGTACAGAAGTGTATGATACTAGCGACATTCTGACAAGATATTCTTATGACGTATCTGGCCTCATAATGTTTAGATTCTGCTGTTATGTTAAGCTGTAAATTAATTTGAGTTTGCTTCGTGAAAGTACTTTATATGTTGGAGCGAACAAACGTTGCTTTTCTTAAAATTTGGAACATTTTCTCCTAGATTCCTAGACTCGAGGTCATCTTAGAAGCTGAACTTATTTATCATATATTCCTGGTTATCTCGAAATGTTGAATTTCGCACACTGATCAGTAGTTTGCAGTCTTTATATATGTTTATGGCTTGTAAATTTACTAAATAATGGAGCATCTGTACTGCAGCTCAAAGGCTCCAGCTAGCCAATGTATACAAAGGAGAAGCAGAGAAGGTGCTTCAGGTGAAAAGGGCAGAAGCTGAAGCCGAGGCCAAGTACCTTGGCGGAGTTGGTGTTGCCAGGCAGAGGCAGGCAATCACCGATGGATTAAGAGAGAACATCTTGAATTTCTCAGGCAAGGTGGAAGGCACCTCGTCAAAGGAGGTGATGGATCTGATCATGATCACTCAGTACTTTGACACAATCAAAGACCTCGGGAACTCATCGAAAAACACTACAGTTTTTATACCCCACGGTCCGGGACACGTTAGGGACATCGGTGATCAAATACGCAACGGACTAATGGAGGCATCTAGTGCTCAGCTCAACGCCGAGTAAATACGCTCGTTTGGAGAAATTCTTGGTCACAATACTTTTTTTTTTATCGAATTCGAGATGACGCGAACAGGTTAGGGTTGTTACATAAGATATAGTTTATGCAATTCGATTCGTTTAATTTTGTTTGCATTTCTTTTGGAATGAAGAACATGGTATAGACTTACACCATGTCGACTCTGTGTGTATATAAAGAAATAGTAATACAGCCCAATATATATAGGTCTGAATATATATAGGTCTGAATAAAGCTATTATTTTGAATGAATGTTATTAGGGATTGTTATTTGTTGAGTCCGGATCCTCTTTGTGAGGATTCGGGGATTCGTGAATTGTATTCATTCATCGTACATTCAGCGATTAGAAATCATTTTAAAGATTTTTATTTAAAAATAAACATAAACAATATGTGATAGAAACTTGACAGTACAATATATGATGAACGGATATGATTTACGGATTCTTAAGTTCTTCACCAAGAAGATCCGGAGAGGATCCTAATGGTTATTTGTTCTTAATTATTGATTTAGACCACGTTTTATTTTCTGTCAGGAGTTAACAAAGTGGGCTTTGTCATGGGCCCACGGGAACAATGGTCCATTGTAGTCTGGACTAGCTCATTGGATTCGGTTGGGTCTCAAGTTGCACCCGAAGGCCCAAATCCAATATTTATCATGAATTGTTTTTATGGAGATGTAGGGTAAATTATTGGGAGTGATTCTCAAATGTCACGTTACGGCGTTATGAATCTACGTTTTATTATACGTTACACAACAATATTGATATATTACGAGCAATATTGTATTAAAAATACATGTGATAACATGAATTGATTGGTAGCATCACTCAACAGTGTGACAAATTCATTGAAACTCCCGCAAAGGTTTTTTTTTTATTTTTTTTATTTATTATTTTTTAATTGAAACTATTACAAAAATTTAAGAAATAGGGTAATTTTGAACCTGAGAAACACGGATAAGAACTTACTGTATCTAATAAGATATTTGACCACATGCAGAAGCACAGATGCTATGCTTGGCAATTGGTAATTGGTATGGAATGTAATGATATATAGCACAAAATTCAAAGATGGAATTGTGTAGAACAAATGGGTGGCATACTAGCATTACAAATACGACGGCCCTATTCTATCTTGTAGACCTTACTCGACCTAAAACATTATATTTTGGCTCCACACAAATGTTGTGTCGTAGGGCAGGCCATAAGCAAAGAAAAAGTTAACCTAAAGTTTAATACTTAATCAACCTACTAATTATAAAAAGCGTTACCGTTAAACGTGGACCAATTAGTAAAAAACATAAAGTAAAATAATACGTTTTAGGTGGCCAACTTTGCATCGTACAAAAATGTAATCATAAAAATGAAGGGAATATTTAGGGGAGGATTTTTGGTAATGATATTGTATGATGACCATTAGGCTGAGATTAGATAATTGGAGATTTTGATTTGATGGGAGTGCACTTAATTTGTTTTCTTCGTTTCTGGTATTTACTTAATGACAATAAATTATAATGACACAGGTGAGTCTGGTAGGATGGATTTTTCTAACTTTTAAGGCTCAACGTGTCGAGCAATTATACAGCATTTTGAAATGCGGTCACGTGACGTTATTATTTTTCTCAAGTTATAATATGTAAATTAAATTAATACTTAAAATGAGAGATATCAACTATGTCCAAATTTATTATAACATGAAAAATAATACAACCTGTAACTCGTGTTCTCGATAATCATAACACTTTCTCAAAAGAAGGGACAATCTTAGTTATCTTACCCTTATATTTAGGCCACCTCTTTTTAATTTATGTCATTTGATCATCTTCAATTCATTCGATTCGATGATCAAATAACATTTTTTTTATCTGATGTTGTTAAATTCAAATTTGTGGTTAGATTTTGGGTTTTCAAACAAGAATAACAAAAAAGTTTTCACTCAAAAGAAATAATCTCTTTCCAATTTAGCCACTTGGTAGGAGAAACCTTCCTGGAGGGATGCCTCTTGTAACAAAGTCAAACGAAAAAGGGACAAAAGTGCACAAATTAGGATACAATGGGAAAGAAATAGCAAGAGCCTAATAAGACTACTAGTGAGTCCTTATGCACATCCAATCATTTTCAAAATGCTAGGCTCCATGTATGCTAGTGGTTGTGAGCCGTTAATGTATGTGAGTTCTGATATGCATGCGTCAACAATTCAAGTCACATGCATGTCTGCTATACATCAATAACTCCCAATCACTTGTAGGTACCATTTCGCTACTCTAATAAAGTGGATAGGTTCACAGTCATTAAAATCAAAACTCAAGGACCACAACATTTGGAAATCTTTTTATTCACCACCTTTAAATGATGGTGATGTTCACCACCTTATTTATCACTGTTGAATGAGTTAAATTTTCAAAATTTATAAATCTCAAAATTTAAACCCATCAAATGATTAAAAATAGGATGATACCACCACTTGAGGATGGCGAACAAAAACGCCTCCACAACTTTTAGGTGTGGGGTTAGTGGTTACAGATACAAAAACTTTGCGAAAAATATTGATTAGAGTACTATCTTTGTCATAATGACACATCATACATGTGGTTGAAGTTCATGTGGAATGAAATCATAGAAAGACAAACCGTAGAATACCAAAAAACACAAAGGCAGGTGGTACATATATATTATTCATTTCCCTACCCCACCATCAAATACCCAATTTAACCTTTACTTTTAGCCTTGGCACAAACTGAAAGGTTGTTTATTTGTGACCGAAAAGTCACGAGTTCGAATCGTGAAAATAGCCTCTTTGTAAAGCAAAAACAAAACTGCATAAGATAAATGTCTCCCCTCACGACCCTCACAAAACATGAAGCCTTGTTGACTTGAGATCGCTTTTTATTTTTTATTTTTACCAACCATGTGCAAAAACTTGAAGATTAGTTGGATTGAAAAATGATGTATATACTTCTGCATAAATCCATATCTAATCATTACCCATACATTATCATGACACTTTCCTGTGTCAACTTGCTCAATTATTGGCGGAATACAAAGAAAAAATGTTTCCATTTTACCTCATAAAACTAAAGTCACCAAAACATACAAAGGAGGGCCACAAACAAGAAATACCTACCAAAATTAATTTTATATCATGTCAATTCATGTGCTTAGATACGCAATTTTTCTCGAGTACTTACATTCATTCACTGTCAACACATTTGATTGTTGAATTCGGTCTACCTGCTCAAACTCAGTGGCTGAGGAACAGGTAAATACATATCGACACTGAACATTTGTAGGTACTCAAGAAAAATGACGGACATAAGGCTTCAAAATTCAAAAACAATCAAGAAGAAAAAAAAGAGGGAGATGAGAGATGATAAAAAGGAAGAAAGCTAATTATGAAGGAGCATTGAAAGTGTGAAGATTCTTGTAGAAAAGAGTGTTGTCCTATACTAATCATCATATCTACTTTCTCTTTAACAACAACATGAGTGGAGAGTGAACAATGAATCCATCCTCCTATACCATACAATTCTAAATAAAGGCTTAGGCTTTCCCTTTCCCTTCTAGTTGGTGAGTAGTCAGTATTTTGCCTCCCCCTGCCGACAGGACCCCCTATGCCTTCACCAAATTCAGTAACAAATGAAATCAAAGGTAGAAAGAAAAAGTAACAAATTCTTACTCCACCACTAACTACACTTAACTCAAAAGTGAAAACTTTGAACTTTGGCAGAGCTGTTTGACTAGGGAACTCTCACACCAGGTGGGAACAAAATACAAAAGGTTTCATGTTTTTGTGAGAGATGACTTGCGAATAACATAGTGGGGGAGCTCTACCCGAATTTTTTTCTTCATTCACAAACCCACTTGGTATTTTTTTTTCAGTCTACTGCTCAGTCAAGTTACCATATTGGGTTTCTATGGCAAGAGGGGGTTATGATTGGTATGGTTTATTGAAAACTCAACTGAGTATGATTTGAAGGTGCACCAGAAAGTGTAATAATTCTCCAAAATTTGGAAGTGCTGTTATAAGATACTAAAACTATGGCCAACTCAACTAGTGACTTCATATGCCACTTTGTCCTCTGTTTTTTTTTTTTTTGGTCCCATTTTTCATACTGTATCGTTCTTGCACATTACTCGGGGGAAAAAAAAAAGAGAATTAAATTTGAATGTATCACCTGCTACGGCCACGAACTGAGTTTCCTGAATCCGATTTTCAGAATTCTGCAAACAGATATATTATGTGCATATATACAGTGAATACCACATACGCATTCTCCCATCTTAGAGCAATTGCCACAAGGCTAAGGTCTTTCTCGCCAGTTGAACCACTAATGAAATCCGTTTACACGTGATGCACATAACCCGTTTCATTTCTCAGCCTGCACAAAGAAAGGTGTGGCACTTGGTTAACAGCTTCAGACACTCATGAAATTTTCAAAAAGTTGGGATTTTAGGTGGAGCCAATGTTGAAAGGGGCTTGGAGATTAAGCATGTGAATCACAAGTAAAAGAATCACCAACCTACTTATGCTCAATATTACTAAGCCAAATTACATGCAGATTCAGTTCAAGTTCGTTGCAATATCCCTTTCAGTTATATTATGCACATCCCCTCCTTGCTTCCATTTTGCTCAAGACTTTTTAGCAATCATGGAAGGCCTATCTGATAACTGTGCGGACTGCAAATTTTCATCCTCCAAAAACAAAGTTCGTAAGGGCCCAGTTGGAGACTAAAATGTCACAAGACAGGGAATGTTTAAAGCACAAGTTACCCAAGATGATTAGAAATAATCTTAAGCTAAAATCTAAAACAATAAACACACAAATAGAGAGAGAGAGAGAGAGAAAAGATAGAGAGACAGACATACAACAGGGAGAGATAGAGAGAGAGGAATGATGGAAAATAAGGCCCCTTATACCTTCCTTTTCGTTGACCATGACAACTAAAGCACTGAAATGGACTTCCACTTCCCGTGGTAGGGCTCTTCAATTTCAGAAACTGATATACCAGCAGATATGCCTAGTTCAATCAGTGAGAAGTGTGTCTTTGGCTACAAAGATTCGCTCTTGTGTTCTTACGAGGTTTGACCCGTGTGATGACTCAAGCCTTGTTTGCCATCCACCCAGCCCATTCAGGAAAACCCTCTCCTGCAGCAGAAAGGAAGTGTCAAACATTTCAAACAAATGCCATTCGTGTCCTTCGGTGATTTCATTTCTCAAGCAAATACAAGAAGTTCTACGCTTAAATTAGAACACACCATTACTCGTTCCAAACATTAAGCCTTGACAGATATTTCCATCATAGGCCCGAATAGGTGTTCCTAATTTGGTATAAACTATAATTTCCCAAAAAAAACAAAGAAAAAGGAGTCCTTCGTAGGATAGTTATACATTTCAGGTTATATGGAAAACACGAAGAGAATAAGTTAAATGGTTAAAAGACTAAAAACATAAACATATTGGTATTGCCACTTTCTAAGAGTCCTACCCAAGAAATTAAATCATGACAAGATACTGAGGCCAATGCAGTGCTAATTTGTACAGGTTGTACAACATACTCAATCTTGGTCATGAGCATCAATTCCATGTATTAAGTGCATGCGTACATGTCTATCCGAGATCTTAGGGCACCAGAAACGGAAGTGCTGCGTATCTACTTGTCTAAACAATATGTTGTTCAGCATGGCACTTCATTTTGTGTTCAAGCACACTTAGCATAGAAGCCAATATTAATTGAGAGTGTGACTGCATATCCAACAGATATACAATGCCCTATACATATTTTGTCCAATAAGAAGTGGCACAGTGACAGAAAACTAGCAGTGGTCCGCATGTAGTGTCCTGGCGGGCACTTCAACCAGAGCGGTTACACTTTGGGGAATGAAAAATAGCATAAACAAAAATTATAAGTTGAACAATAGGGGAACAGAAAAGGCCAGTTGTAATGAGCCATCAAGTGGCCAATTGGTTTGGTATTCATCTTTCAATGATTCAGAACGTCATTCCTCACGGTCACTCTAATCCACATTACTACTGCAACATATAGGCATCACTTCAACAATAGAGCTCCTATTTTGATGTTTTACTATACTTCTTTCCTTTTCCGAGACAATCTAACATTTTTATATGTCCATTCACTGTCCAATTTGTTTTCATGTCATTATGTTGGGCATCTTGCATACTTATTTGAACACTAATACCACTATAAGCATCATTAATTCAAAAAATAGTCCAGAAGAATAAAAAACCAAAATTTTCACACCAGTCATACATGACCATCCAATTCTTTATATTTTACGTCATGAGCTAAACTAGATGCAGTAAAATGGACGATGTTACATAGGAGGACTTATCCAAATCAAATATCTCATACTCAAGAAGAAAACAACAGTCAATAACTGATATCAACAATGGAAATATGATGAAGCACATTTTTTTTCAAGACAACGAAGAGAAACTGGATTTTGCAGGACACCATATTAAACATAAAGAAACATATATCTCAAACTACTCTTGAAAAATGTTACAATTTTATATTCAATCCCTGGACCACTTTTATGATTATAAAGATCAAAGGGCTTCTTGTTTACAAAGTACAAACCGAAGAAACCCACAATCATGTTTTGGCAAGAGATTGACTATTTCATTAGAATCATGAAGATATGCCAGTTTCAGTAATACAATGTTCAAAATTCCTTCACATTAACCTTCCCTTCGAGCAATAACACTGAAATCTTTTACCTAGATGTGAAGTATATAGAAGAAAAAATAAAAAGAGAGGAAAGAATTCAATAAATCCTAGAGTTACAGAATCCTAGAGGAGTCAAAAAGAAAAACATTACACTGTGGGTGCATCGGAAAAGACCTCAGTCAGCATGTCATCCTCAACGTCTGCAGTCCCAAACAGCTCTGCTTCCTTTTCTTCCTCACTAGAAAGATCCCTTCTCTCTAGTTTGGCATGAGCTGCAATAAATATCATCTTCTGTGCCTTTTCCAGGCCTACCCTTGAGTGCCTATGTACACGAATCCATCTCATGAAAGACCAATTGCACTTAAATCCACATGAGGTTGCATGGAGGAAGATCAGTCTCACTGCAACCCTCCCCAATGTCTTTAACTCACTTAGACAAGTTTCCCACACAAGTCTGCTGCTCTGCGGGTTTGCCATTTTCATCTTTCCAGTTACAGGATCTCGCTGTTTAACCTGCACTGCCTGAGCATAAAGTGGGTCCATTCCTTCTGTTCTCCATTTCATGAGCTCCATCAATGCAACATGAGCTTCTTCTCTGGAAACCAACCTGGTAATGAGCTTATCTACATCCTTCTCCTGCTCGTGTGTCAAGCACTTGAATGGTGGAAGGTACTTTCCACTAGTGTCCCTCATCAAGTATATCGGGTCAAGGATAAATGCAGCCGACCATGCTGGGTGGTAGTTCTTTCTGAATCGTTTTTCAACTATTTCCTCAACAGGTCCTTCAACAATGTTGAACTTGGCACACCAATCCTTTACTTTTGTTCTCAATTCTTCCCAAAGGGGCAGACATTGCCCAATTAATGGCCTCTCAGCCTCAATCTCCTGAGTCATCCCTCTGATCATCTTAACAAGTGAATAAACTGCCTCTAATTCATTCCAAAATCCTTCAGTTTGAATCATCCCTGCAACTTCCCTAGCAATTGGATCCTCTAGACATATCGCTTTATAAAAATCAACCAAGACGACCATTTGGAGTATGCGGGCACAACTCAATATATCCTCCAGCATTGCGTAGATAGGTGCAAAGTTCTTTGAAGTATCACATTTGGGCGAAGGAACTTGGAGCAACCCAGCATACTCAAGCTCTTGTATCTTGCACTTCTCGAAAGCATGCCTAACCTCAGAGTTGCTATTTACAAAATTCGCAACCTTTAAGCAATTTTCAATGACAACCCTAAACAGTGGAAGCTCTTTGTTAAAATCCTTAATCAAAGACAAGAACCCCTGAAGCTGACAGGAGACATTCACCATCCAATGGTTCTGAGTCTCCAAGTTCCTCAATGCCTTGGCCTTATATTTGTCTGCAACGATCCCCACACAACGCTGCACAGCATTCCCACATACTCCAGTAACTGAATCCCACAACACCTCCTCTGCATATTTCGAAGAAACTGACCCGCCAGTAAACACCACCTTCTGGAAAACACTAATCCCATTCGGAAGATTAACCGTGAACTTAACAACATTCTCTTCCCCACAAGAATCCCCGCTTTTCCACCCATCAGAAGCAACTTGGAAAAACATTGCATCTCTAATCCTAGCTTCAGACTCAGCTTTCACCTCATCAAACTTAGCATCAAGTCGAGCACCAGAAAGCTCACGCTGCAGCAATGCAGGCAAGCCCACCTGGCTAAGGAAAGCCCTGAACTTGGGATGCTCGAGGCTCGAAAATGAGACGGACCCACATGACTCATAGAACCACTCAGACAGTAGTTGGAGTGCAGAATCAATCTGATCCTTACTAAGAGTGGCACCAGGCGAAGCTTTGGGACTCTTAAGTTTCTTCACACTATTTTCTAACATTGCCAAAGCACCCAAATCCTCCTTCCCACCAGATAAAACCAAATGGTGCTGATCCAGCCCCGTACTTCTCGCAATCCCAACAGGGTTTGGGGACTGTGAGAAATTATGGTCACCACCGAAGCGGGAAGACTCGATCATAGCTAAAGAGTGAACCTGTATCGGACTAGGACTAATGTGCGGAGGAGCTTGAGAAATAGGAGAAGGACTAGTACCCATTTGAGAGCTCCGCTTTCTGTGATTGTGAGACGACGGAGAAGGCAAGGAAGATATCGGAACCGGAGATACCGCCGCCGATGAATTGGGTCTCAAAACAGAGGTGAAATTCGGGCAGGTACCCCGTTTGAGATGCTCTGAGGCCGTTCTGGAGGGGTTGGAGGCGGAGAAGACGGCATCGCAGAGTGAGCACTTGAGCTTGACGGCCTTGGGGATGTTGGAGTTGGGGGCGCAAACGAGAACGGGCTCCAAGTGAGCCCAGTACCAAGCTCCTTTCCCCTTTATGGCCTTTGTTCGAACAGTTACCAGGCTTTCGAATCGCCGGTTGAGGGCCCTGGCGGCTATGTCGTCCGGCGACAGAGATGGTTCTGTTGGGGTTGAGTTTGTGGACGCCATTGAAGCAAACGAGTCGAAATTGGAGAGTGCGAGTGACTCAGTAAGTGAAGTGATGGGTTTTCAGTGAAAGAACCAAGCTTTTAGGTGATTGGTCTCTCACGGTGGTGGGTTCAGGGCATTTAGCCGGAAAGTGAAGGAGATGATGAATTGGGTTTTGGGTTCGGGTTCGGATTGAAGCAGAGGTCCATTGCCATGGCGATCTAGGCGAGTGAAAGAGTAGGAAAAGATGGGAGCTTGAAGCTTTTGAAGTGGGCTTTAATGGTGGAAGGTTTGTAAAATTCTCAAAGAGTCAGCTGCAAAACTGCTCAACTGCACCTTCATCACACAACAGAAATGAAGGAGTAACGGAGACATACATATAGTGCAGACTCTGCTGACTCCAGAGAGAGAAAAACATAGAGAGGAGAGAGAGAATTTTATTCGACATGATGAAAAATACAAAGTTTTTTTTTTTTTTTTCTATTTATTCTTCTGACCAACAAATATTTTTTCTGTTTTTTTTGTTTTTTCTTTCCATTTTTTCTTGTTCGTGAGAATTTTTGTCCAAGACTTGCAAGTTTTATATAGTTCTTCGGTTTTGTCAATGTCTAAAAGTGTTCGGAATTTCTTAGTGTTTTCTTTGTTTTGGAATTTCAAATATTACTTTCTCTGCTTCTTGATTGGAGATCTTCTTGACCTCAAAATGACTTTTGTTTTTTATTAAAGCGATACCTTGTTGATTTAAGATTTGTTTGGAAATATTTTGAAATTGTTAAAGCATTTTTTTATGAAAATATTTTCGGTATTAATCTTTATGCAAATGTATCTTTGAAAAAAAAATACTTGAAGTGTTTGTTGCAAAAAAACACATAACTAGTGTTTCTTGCAGGAAGCACTTTAAGTGATTTGGAATTCAAAATTTTTTTTTTTTTAAAGTGCTTTCAATTATTTTAAATGAATTTTAAAACAAGCTTAGTACTTTGTATATTTTTATTTTGAATTAGTATATAAAGACCATAACCTATATCCTTAAGTTTTTCATTAAATTAGGCATTTGTTTCTATCTCCAAAATTAGCATAAAGGGAATTAAATTTTAAAGAAATGTAGCAAATGCAATATGATTGTCGATTAACCATGCATGTATAAGTTTAAAAGTTGGAACCAGTTATAGCTATTTGATTTTATGATGTTATCATCATGCTTGAAAGTTTGGTGGAGTGGTTACAAGTGTGACCCATAAACACTACTTTATGTTTAATTATTATTATGGAATGATTTTTTATTATAAAAAAAGAGAATAAATTGCAGTAAAATTACCAAAAAAAATCAAAGGAGAAGTTCATGAACATAAAAACATTTGTTTATTATGATATTTAAAAAAGTGGTAATGATTTTATACAAAGATAAAACATATATATGTGTGTGTATCACTGCATTAGGTATATGTGGATGTGAAAAGTCAAAAAAGTATCCTTAATTATTCGAGGAAGAGGAGATGGCATCTTCACCTAAAGCATATGGGTGCTATGATCTATCCAACCTAAAGCTTTCTACATATCACATAATTTTAGATCTAAGGTCCATTTCAAATTTTAAAAATAGAAGGTTGGGGAATGTACCAGAGACACGGCCGAGTATGTTCGGTGTCATAATATAAGTGGCAGAATTTTTTTTAAAGTATTCAACTATTTGTATTATGACACTTAGTGTATTTAGCTGTGTTTTTGGCACACTGAAAAATCTCTTCACATCTTACACATTGAACTGCGAGATTTTGGACTAAGCCATGAGCTATTCATAATAACTAGCTAAATGAGTTAATTATGTTACCTCTCACTTATATGTAAAGATAAATGTCATTAGGCGATAACTTTAATTTAAATCTTTCAATTTTTTTTGAGCCAAGACGATTACAAAAGTTGCCTACAAAATTTCTTCCAAACTTATTAGGCTAGATAATTGTAAGAATAAATGCTAGTTTTGTAATATGAATATATGGATTAGCCATCGATTAAGACAGTGTGCTGAGCTTAAATTCTCTCTCGTCATAACAGAATATTTTAGAATATCAAATCATCAAAGGAAAAAACAATCTTGTTCTGTAGCATCATTTTCACATTATTTAGCTAATGTAATTCATCTTTACAAGTGCTGAATTACCCTGATAATTAGGACTTCCTCTTAAACTTACTCTATCCCAAGTTCAAACCCATCATCTTTTCCGTTGATTGGTGTAGTTTATAATAATTTGTCCACCAAATTGTACTCTTATCACCAGCCCAAAAAAAACCACCTACCCGAAAAGTGTGCAAATGGGCTCAGAGGGAGCCCACTTACAAAGCCCCACATTTCGTCAATTTAGGCGTACTGGGCCCATTTCTCAATCCATTACATTTCCCCTTAGTTTATTTTTTCACCATATCAACCCAAACACCAAAAACAAGAAAAAGACAAAAGCCTTCGGTTGCGTTGGGGTTTAAATGTTAATTTCGCGCGTGAAGCCTCCTCACGCCACGTGGTTATTATAGTACCTGTTGCAGACAATAACCGTGCTACAGTAAGTAATCCAAACTCGAGGCGAGAATTAGGGTTTTAAGAGCCGCGTTAGGCTTTTGCCAGGGTTTTAGCTCGGAGCGTCGCTGTGCGAGCCAACGATACCGGAGCGATGGTATTCTGGGGTCAGTCTTCTCTCTTATCAATAATTATTTAATTTCATTTATTTTTGATGCAGTAATTGTTCACAATATTTCTTGAATTCGGAAGAAAATATAGCGAAAATTCTACGATTTCTCAGAAAACCGAAAGGTTTGATAGTCTGGGGAACTTTGAGAAATTATTTATTTATTTTTGGTTGAATGTTAAATTGTAGGAATTGAAATAGAACCAGGCAGATCGTTTGGGTATCAATCGGATGAATTCGAAGGAAAGCTTCACATTACTCAGGTAATTTTCCTTAATTTTTTTTTTCTGAACCTTTTGATTGCTTAGAGCACTCTGGTTTTTTTAAGAAACCGTTGCGAATTGGGTGTGGTAGGATGGTGAATTTTCTTGTTGACGTTGTGTTGATAAATCAGGCGACTTTAGGCCTCGGTGAATCGAAGGAGAGGTGTATAGTTCAGTGTTCCATTGGAAGTTACATTTCAGTCTTTGTGTGTTCTTTGTTACCAAATAAGAATGAATCGGTCCCCTTGGATCTTGAATTTGAGCCGGTTGATGGTTTGGTGACCTTCTCGGTGATTGGAACCCGAAGCATCCACCTCTCTGGTTACCAAGTGGATGAGAGCGAAGATGAAGGAGATGACTATAGATCGTATGTGCTAATTAATTTCACTTTTTGTGAGTTTGTTTTTGTAACATTTTTATCTTTTTAACGGTAATTTTTATCTCTCTACAACAATTAAAGGGATTCTTTTCGGGAGAATATTGCCGAGACCGAGTCAGAGTCAGAGTCTTCAGAATACGATAATGATGATGATAATGTTGATTTTATTGATGACGAAGATTTTGCCATGTACCCGCCCTCGCCTGTTCCCAATAGTGGAGGTAAATTGGCATATCGGAAACCTATTAAACGTATTTTTTATAATTACTTGGAATAGATCTTTCGTGAATTTCGTGACTGGTTTTTCATTTTGGATCTGATATGAGACAAAGCATAAACATAGTAAAACTTTCCATGCTGAAAGTTTGATTAACTTCATGCTGTTAAATTTCAGTTAGATCTTAATCTTCTTTATATTTTGGCGTACTCCAATGTCCAAACCATTGTTCAGCATTATGTTATACTTAAGTATGGTTGTCTTGTTTAATGAAGTTGTATTCCGCTGCTGGTAAATGCAGCTGTGATTTATTCATGATTGTCACTTTTTCAGCTGTGATTTATTCATTATTATGCTGCTATGTAGTGCCTGACTTGGTGTTTTCTTTGGCTTAATTCTTAGTTGTAATTGAGGAGATAGAGGACGATGAGAAACCTGCTAATGGAAACAGTCAGTCCAAACGACAAGTGAAAAAGAATCAATCGAATGACTCTGAAAAGAACACAAATTCTCAGCATCAAATTGTTGTCAAGAAAAATGCCGGTGTCACTGTTTTGGAGAGTGAAGATGAAGATGGCTTTCCAATATCCACTAAACAGAAAACCAATATTGAGAAGCCTGAAGCAGCAACCGAACAGAAAGATAACAAAATTACTGAGAAAACCAAGAAGAAGAAAGTGAAAGATGGTGAGGCTGTTGGGTCAAAAAGGAAAGTCGAAGATGTTCACCAAGATTGTCAGCCAGAAGGGTGAGTAATTGACCATTTCAGTGGTTAGAGGTTTATCAGTTTTTAGGTTGGGTTATTCTTTGAAGCCTTTAGTTGATAATCAACAATCATTTGACAACTTTGTTTATATTGTCTTGTTCTGTGGTGCCCGCCAAATATTCAGTTTTTGAATTTATTGAAGTGTTTCCTCAAATGATGTCAGGGAAAAGAAAAATAAGAAGAAGACGAAATTGAAAGAGCAAGCTAAGGAGGTAAATGCTGATGACAATGAAAAGCAACCTGAGGTTTTGAAGAGCCAAGAGCATGAGCAAAAGCTATCTAATAAGAAGTGAGATCTGCTACATCATCGTTTCGTTATTTTACATAGTACATTTATGTTGTGTTTTCATTGAGACATGCAGAGAAATTACCCCTGCCCCTCTAATGTATAGATTGTAAGATGGATTTGAATGCAACGGGCTTCAGTAATGCGGAATAGAACAAATACACGCTGGCTTTATGAATCTTTTTCAGTCCGAAACTTGAGCCTTTTTTTATTTAATAATAAATTAAAATTATATTATGGCCAACTTAATATATATTTTGCTAAGAATTCCTGTCATATTAGTAATTTGTACCCAAGAGGTTGAATGGTTGGCACGATAACAGTTTCACTAATGGCTTAGATTTGTCGGTCACTATTATTTCTCATACATTTGCTTTGTTGTTTTTACACTGAGTAAAATAGTATGTTCATACACAGGAGCTCTGACGTCGAAAATAATTCTATTCCTGGTGACAATCTCACCGAGGGGAAAAAGAAGAAGAAAAAGAAGAAGAAAGCCCAGGAGAGTGAAATAAAAACGGACACGGATGAAACTGCTGGCAACATGGAAGATCAGAACGAACCTGCTTTGGAGCAGACCAGTGGCAAGCGATCTAAGGGGAAAACCTTTCCAAATGGATTGGTTGTCGAGGAGCTAGCTATGGGAAAACCTGATGGCAAAAAAGCTTCTTCAGGAAAAAAGGTAAAGATTTAGCCTTTCAGCATGTTTACATTTACCCTCTAAAGGATTCATGATGCTAATATTTGTTTTTCAGGTCAGTGTTCGGTACATTGGCAAGCTAAAGAATGGCAACATATTTGACTCCAATGTGGGAGGGCCACCTTTCAAGTTTCGCTTAGGTAAGTTAATGCCATTTTACAGGAATCAAGAAATAACTCAACTTCACTATGAGTGTGACCTCATTTTTTTTCCGGTTGTGCAGGTCTTGGACAAGTTATAGCAGGATGGGATGTCGGGGTTAACGGTAAGTTTCTGAGATGTTCAAATCTGTCTTAAATCCGATCTACAACTTTTACTAAGCAGTCGTTGCATCTTTTAATGCGGATCTACCTTCCTCCAGGTATGCGTGTCGGGGACAAAAGAAGACTCACTATTCCACCAGAAATGGGGTATGCCATGATCATAACCGTATCTTCCCATGAAACAGGGGGACCTAAAACCAGTTGAGCTGTTGTCCTTTCTCCCATTTCCGCAAAGCTTATTTTTGTGTTTCCTTTGGATGCAGTTATGGAAATAAACGTGCCGGTAAAATACCACCAAACTCATGGCTTGTGTTTGATGTTGAGCTGCTCGATGTCAATTGATTCAGCTATGGAGATGCTCCGTTGGCCTCTAACTTTGAAGTTCTTGTTCTGATCGGAAAATCAGCCGTGGGGATGCTCCGTCCGCATCCAATTTTGACTTAAAGGATAATGTAGCTTATTTTTTCCTTCATTTCTCCATAAGAACCTGGTTTTGATCAAAACTTCAAATTAATACTTTTAGTGACGAAATTTTCCCCAATTTATTTGTACATTTTTGCACTTCATCTTCGCTTTTCATTAATCCTTCCTATTTAATAAAAATCTCTGTCGATAAAAAGATGATGAAAAAACCATTTTGATCCTATCAACAAAGCAAACACTAAAATAAATGTTACGGGCAATATAATTTTGCTGTATTTTTTCTCCCTCACATGCTAGTAATCCCATTTCTCACCGCCATCTCTCTTCCATTTTTTCTACTATAAAAAATTAAAAATTAAACTCTAAAAGGATTAAAAATGTTTCTGCAAAAAGAATCAGTCGTGTTCTTGTAAGAAGCACTTAAAATCTTTTTTTTTTTTTTTTTTTAAGGATTCATTTGCATTGCTTTTACTAAAAACTAGTCAATGAATCCGAAAAACAAATAATAAATATCTTAATCTGAATAAACACAGAGGCATTCCCCACATCCGAGGTCAAAACACCCAACAAACAAGAAGGAAAAACTGGAATGTTAAAGGCCCAAGCCCACCATCTTTGAGCCCAAATTTTAAGCCCTTAAGCCGGGTCCTAAAACCCCCTTCTTTGCATCGACCAACACCATTGGAAGAATTAGGGTTTTATCGAGGTTTCAGAGAGCCACGGCGGAAAGGTAATATTTTTCTCACTCAGCTTCCTAAATTCCAATCTTAAAGCAAATCGGATTTGAGCTCTATACTCTCATCATCCTCTTTCGATTTAGCTGTATTATTATCTGGGTTATGAGTTCTGAGTTCTTATTTTTCCCATTTTCTGTTTGGTTGCCGAGAAAATTTGTGTAAGAAGTATCCCATTTTTGTTGTTTTCAGTTTTCCTGAAATCCCAATTTTATGTTTCTAGGGTTTGAATATGTTGTTCATAGGTTGTCGTGCGATAATATGATTTTTGAGGTTTGATTGAGTTTAGCTGGAAATAATACAATTTTGTCGGTATTTGGAATGCTTCTGTGTTTATTCAGATTAGGATATGTATTATTGTTAGGAATTCATTATTTGTTTTTCGGAATTCATTGATCGGTTTTTGTACATTTTGCTCATTAGTATGTGGGAATTGTTTCTCTTTAATAGGTTTACTAAATGGGTGTGTCCAATAAAGAGTCCCGGTTGTTGAACGAGGATTCGATGGAAGAGGATGATTTCCAAGATGTTGGGTCTGGGTCAGAATCGGAGGCAGAATCTGAACAGGAGGGAGATGTGAAATTGGATGAACCGTCGAAGAAGGCCATATACAACAGAGATGGTGTAATGGATAAACTTGGTGATATAAGCTGGCCGGAGAATGCAGGATGGGTGCACAAACTCTCTGTTGACATTGATCAAGAGCAAAAGGTGGACGTGAATGATGACTTGACTCGAGAGCTTGCCTTTTACACACAGGCTTTAGAGGGAACGAGGAAGGCCTTCGAGAAGCTTCAGTCAATGGGGCTTCCTTTTCTGAGGCCCGAGGACTACTATGCTGAGATGGTGAAGTCAGATTCCCATATGGAGAGGGTGAAGAGCCGGCTTTTGGTAGAGAAGAAGAAGATCGAGGAAGCGGATGAGAGAAGGAAAGCGAGGGAGTCCAAGAAACTATCTAAAGAGATTCAGGCTCAGAAGTTGAAAGAGAGAGCTAAGCAGAAAAAGGAGGACATAGAATCTGTGAAGAAGTGGAGGAAGCAGAGGCAGCAGAGTGGGTTTGCCGGGGGTGACAAAGGCAGTGAGTTGGATTTGGCATTCGAGGATGGGAAACCATTCGAGAGGTCAAATAAGAAGCCATTTGTGGCTCCAGGAGATCGGTCTGGAGGGAAGGCAAGACAAGGTGGGAAGCCGACGGGAAAAAAACCAAAGAAGAGGGAAATTAAGGATTCCAAGTTTGGATACGGAGGGAGGAAAGGTTCCAAGAAGCAAAATATGGCGGAAACAACTAACGATTTGAGGGGATTCAACAAAGATAGTCTCACATCAGGAAATAAGAAAAGGAAGAGGTGATAGCATCTTATGATTTTGGTTTTTGTTCTACTCTCGTGTTCCGGCAAGGGCTTGCCTGTGTAGCCTATTGATTTTTGCCGGTGATTCTGATACATGTGAACTTTTAAGTTTTGTTCTGCTTTGCTTTAGTATCTTATGTAGTAATATTTATTGCTGATGGAATGTTTTACTTATCTGACACTTGTGTTCATCCGTTCCAACTCGTACGAAATTTTTACAGTATTCATGCGTTGTAAATGGTCTGTACTTCGTATTCTATTAGCCAGATTCAGACCAGCAGGTCTGGTGATTCCTGCTCTTTGATGCCCTCGGTAATTTTTAGTTCTCGTGTTAAAAACAGAGGCAGTCTCGACATTATACTTGGTGCCCCGGACTTTGAGGCTGCCCGGGATGTAGGAGCGAGCTTCGGCTGACGGAGACGGACGGGAGATTGGAAAATTATCTTGTTGGTAATAGAAAGTTCATAATTTTATGAAGGGCGACAGTTGGTGCGTGGGTTAAGGAAGAAAATCCGTTTTTACTGCAACGTTTTACAATGCAACTTTATGTCTTTTTCTTAAGGCGGCGATTTTGGCACTCTTAATTTAGCTTCTCCAAATCAATTATTTATACAAAATTTCACTCGCTGTCGGACCATCGAATCTTAAATTTGGAGTGCGAAAATCATTACCCTTTCTCGTCTATGATGTCATTTTTCGATGACATGGAGTCCATGAGAAAACCCAAGGAAGTTCCATGTGAGGTTCTTGGGAGGTACCTGTGGTCTTTGAATAAACAAAACGACCGAAGACCCACAAAACGGCAAGTTGAGAAGTTTCATCCCAAATTTACTATTAATTTTTTTTAATCATTTGATTTAAAATATATAATATATGTCATTTTCTCGGTTAGCTTTCACACAACTCACCATCTACTCCTTCAACATGTTCCCCTACAAAAAGCTTGTCACAGACACTTCTTTCAATCCCCTCCACACCACACCAGTGCTTATAAATACCTTCATTTCCTTCTTTTAACACCACCATAAACCCACCTTCCCTTGTGCTCGTAGAGAGTTATCCAGTCCAATCCAATCCTACCCGTTCTTTGACCATGTTGGATTCTACATTGGACTTGCTCACTCAGGCTGCTTCCAACTCTCTATATGTTTTCTGCTTCTGCAACTTGATCATATTCATGATCCTCGTTGGTTCGAAACCCTGCTCTTACGTTGATCAAGAAAGTGTCTCAACGGTCACCAGCAGCTGCAAAACCAGAATCTCAAATGGTCATAAACAAGTTGAAGATGATAAATGTGAGCAGGAGGGTACTATGATCAAATCACCAATTGCTTTTGGCCAAGTGGCGAATCCCGAGGACGAACTTGCCACTGCCGGAGAAGACAATGGCAGCGGCGATCATCACAATGAAAGCGAGGAGTGTGACAATGAAGATGAGCTGAGAAGAAGAGTGGAGGAATTCATTGAAAAAGTTAACAGAGGATGGAAGGCAGAGTTGTCGAGAACCTCACATTTAAATTTAATCTAAGCATCGGATATTTGTATTAGTTTGGTTTTAGTGGTAGAAACAGCTTATTTGCAAAGTAAGGGTAAGACTGTATACGATAAACGTTCCTTTGACCCTTGCAAAGCTGGAAGCCTTGTTGAATTGGAGTCGCCTTTTTCTTTGAAGTTTGGTTTTAGTGATCAAGCTTAAAATTTGAACATTTGTAACTCTAATCTGATTTACTGAGGAAACTTCAAATGCTTTTGCTACATTTTCTCCCGTCTAGTCTTAGTACTATTGGTTTTAAGAATGAGCGATTGCATTTCTGTGACTCTAATTTTAATTGTTTGAAATTCATTTGCAACTACAATCGTTTGTGGACGGAGAACAAGTTGGTAAGAAAAAGCCTCTTTAGGGTTTGGATGTTTCGAATATTTTAAAACACAGAAAATGCATTTGATTCTCGTCTCACATCACATGGATAAAGAGAAGAAAAAAAGTGCTTGAAAAAGTTACAAAAGGGCATGTTCGTTTGTAACTTGCATATGATATAAGATGTTGAACTTTTTCTTATCTTCTCTCTTTTGCATCACTTCCCACCTGGCAATAACATTCTCATAAAGCGTTTATCGTCCTTTATCTCAAAATTAATTGAAGTTCAAGATCGAGCATTCACGCTAGATTTTCGTCGAAACGTGGGATACAAACAATAATAAAGTCTTATCACATTAAGTAGGGTCTGTTGTATGAATTCTAGAATGTCTTGCGCTTGATTTTGTGTAATATTTTCTGTTAGCTTCAAGTACTTTATATATTTTCTTATAGTATCTTTCAATGTCTATCTAGGTCTTCATCTACTCTTTTTGTCCTGAATCTTCATCCCATAGTCGTATCTTTTAACCGAATCATTTGTAGGTCTTCAGTTCACGCGTCCAAACCATCTTAACTGATTTCATCTCATCTTCTCTTCGATTGCGATCACTCTTACTTTATCTTGAATATGCTCGTTCTTAATTATATTATCTCTTATGTGCCTATACATCCAACAAATCATTCTCATATTTGCTTCACTCATTGTTTTTCAGCGTGGGATACCCTTTCCAAATTATGTTGCCAATTTTAAGAAAGCTGTCGATTTGAAGGCCAGGTCAATGTCGTTGAAGCAATTTCGAAGCAAGTTGGTAATTAAAGACATGAATATACAACCGTTACCACCAACCTTTAAATATGATTTAATTTAGACTATTCTTATTAGTCTCTTTCACATAATCACCTAATGTTGTATTTTGTCAACATCTTGCTAAGTCAATTTTAAGGGGTCAATTATTATTATTATTATCATGTGAAATAGATCAGGTTTTTCTATTGCAGTTCATCTTTTTAAAATTCGAAAAAACTCATAGATACATTTCAACTTAAAAAGAATCATTCAAATATTGATATAAATGTCATAATTTAATCAAGACATGTACATGTACTTCATTTTTGCAAAAGAAAAGAGACCAATTAGTGTTTTTTTCTTTTGAGTAAATTGTAGTAATGGTCCCTTAACTTTAACTCAATTGGAGCAATGGTCCCTCAACTAAAATCTATTACCATTGGTCCCTCAACTCATCAAAACGTGCAGCTATAATCCCTCAATCCATTACCAATGGTCACTCAACTTTAATCAAACGGGAGAACTGGTTCCTTAACTTTAACCAAATTGGAGAAATAGTCTCTTAACTTTAACCCAATTGTAGCAATAATCTTTCCAACATAACTCATTTTAACAAAATTTTGATTAAGTTGACGAAAATGACCATAGATATACATTTTGATAAGTTGAGGGACCAATGATAATAGATTTTTAGTTGAGGGACTATTGCTCCAATTAACTAAAATTGAGGAACCATTGCTACAATTTACTCTTTTCTTTTACAAGGCTGTATATATTCTAAATTATTGTAATAAATAGAGAGCGGGAATACAGACTTGGATGCAAAGAGCAGATACAATATCTTGAGCAACCGTCGTATCGCACGTATAACAACTTGCCCATAGTCAAGTAATACTTTCAATATTGAAAGAACCGAAATTTTCGGCTTGTGTTGATTTAAAGAAAAAGGCCAAAAGAAAGGAGAAGACAACAAAGTTCCATAAATCCAGGAATAGTGATGTGGATGTGATGACATAAGAGGGAAGGAAAAGGAGAGGATGAGAAGGATCCATGTGATGTTCTTGTTTGGTACAATTGTCTTTTCATTAAACTAATGAAGAAAGAGGCCGCTTCTAAAAAAAAAAAAAAAAAAAAAAAACAAAAAACATGAAGAAAGAGGCCCTACAATATAGAGAAAATTTTCAATAGTTCAGAAACACAGTTTTAAAAAAAAAAATCACAAAACTAATGAAGAAAGAGGTCGCTTCTAAAAGAAAAGAAAAAAAGAAGAAGAAAGAGACCTTACAATATAGAGAAATTTTTCAATAGGTAATAAACACAGTTTAATAAAAATAAATAAAAAAAAAAGAAAGAAAGAGGCCCTACAACATAGAGAAGTTTTTCAATAGGTCAGAAACGCGGTTTTGGTATGTCACGTGTTATAATACAAGTAGTTGGATACTTGAAAAAATAAAATCAATCATTTGTATTATGACATTTGGTGTACCATGCCCTGTTTCGACACATTAAACAATTTCTACATAATATGGTTGAGAATAAGCTTTCACATTATACAGAACATCATATCCTCCTCTCAGACCATCTCTAATCGAAAGGTCCAAAGGGCCGAAAAATGCCAAAAACCGTCTTCAACCGAGAGCTAGATCAGATGGCTCGTGGGCCCCACGAAATCTAAAAGGGCCAAAGGGCCAACTTGTTGGCCCAATCCAGCCAGCCAACCAGCTCCGGGCTTGGCCAGAAATCATAGCATTTCTGTCGATTATAACCGACATGAATATATTTATGTTAAATATATTCCTATCGGTTATATCCAACAGGAATGCTAAGCCAAATTTCAAATGCAATGGCTAACTGACGTCAGCTAGCCGTTATTTTTTATTTTTTATTTATTTTACAGTTTGATTTTATTTATTTATATTTTTTTAACAATTTTTTTTTCCTATAACTTCTATTTTTAAATTCTATTTTTTTCTATAACTTCTATTTTACATAATTTGTTTCATATATATTTTTTTAAAATTCTATTTTTTTTCCTAGAACTTCTATTTTACAAAATTTGTTTCATTTTTTTTTAAATTCTATTTTTTCCTATAACTTTCTAAGTCATTATACAACATTAAATTAAATTAAGTAACATGAAACAACATTAAAGAATATGAAACAACAATAAATAACATTAACCAACATAAAAATTATACAACATAAAAAAAAACATTTACCAACATGAAACTTAAACAACATTTTAAAAAACATTTAACAACATAAAACTTAAACGCCTACTCCATGCTTCTTTTGGCCCAAAGATGTGCAACAAGATCTTGTTGTAGGTACTTGTTTGTGGCATGGGAATGTATCATCCTATAGCGCCTCATGTACTCGTTTATAGAGATACTACCAGTTCTTGGATTGAAAGGAAAATTAGGCTCATCATATATTTTTGCACGAGCCCTTCTTGACCTATTTGGATCCTTTTGGTAGTCATCGGACTCTCCATCAATATACCCATCTCGCTCATCCTCCACAATCATGTTGTGTAAACTCTCAACATCTTTCTAGTATGCCTCTTGGTGTAAGGTAAAACACTTTTTGGCATCATTTTTAGGGTTTGGGATTGCTTGGACAAGTGTCGCCTACTTTGGGTAAATGCCATCTGCCAAGTAATACCCCATATTGCATCGACGACCGTTAATGTAGTAGTCAAGTTAAAGTGATTTACCTTCCGTCAAGTTATTGAAGAAGGGTGAACAACCAAGAACTGTAATGTCATTTTGGGATCCAGAGACTTCAAAGAAAGCATGTCAGATCCATGTGTCATACGAGGCAACTGCCTCTAACATAATAGTTGACTTTCTTGACCTTCTGCTAAAGCCTCATTGCCATCCGATGGGATAATTCTTCCAATTCCAATGCATGCAGTCTAATGACCCTATGATGCCCGGAAACCCACGGTCTTTAGCTTTGTGAAAGAGCCGATCCATATATTCTTGATTTGGCTTCCGGAGGTACTCTTCTTTGTAAAGCTGAATAATTGTGTTACAGAATTCAACAAGAGTATCAAGGCATGTAGACTCAGACATACCATGGATTTCTTCCATCGAATCAGCTGGGGAGCCATAGGCCATCATTCATAGTGCAACAATAATCTTTTGATGAGGTGAGAAACCAGAGCAGCCTACTCTGTCCAGCTTCTGTTGAAAATATGGGTTGACATGATGGACATCATAAAGTACACGCTTGAAGACATGACGCCTCATCCTAAAACGACGTCTGAAATCATCTTCTGTGTACATCGAGTTGGGGTTGAAGTAGTTGTTCATTAGATTGGCATGCGTCATCGCTCTGTTTCGTGGTTTGTAAAAGCGACCAGCAACAGAGCCACCACATTGAGGTTGTTCCTCAGTTGGTTGACACACCATGGCTGCCACATATTGTTTGTTGCGCCATGCTTCATCTTCTTCATCAAACTCCTCATCTTCTCGTCTCATTTGTGCCCATTTTTATTCCAAATCGGAATTGGATGAGGACCCCTAATTGGAATTTGAAGAGGATCCAAAGTTGGAATTCATTGTAAACTTGAATTGAAAGAAATTGAATTAAAAGAGATTGAATTGAAAGAGATTGAAATGAAATAGATTGAATTCAAAGGTGTGTGAATTATAGCCCAATATCCAATCTATTTATAGCAAAAAAAATTCAAATCCAACAGCTAGCTAACATCATATAGCTATTGGATTTGAATTTGATTTTTTTTTTCGGCCAAAATTTTAAAAAAAAATATTAAAAAATTCTCATTTTTTTCCTAAAAATTTAAGTTGTTGTAATTTTTAAATTTAATTTGTAGTTTTTAAATTTAAGTTGTAGTTTTTAATCATAAGTTGTAGTTTTTTAAATTTAAGTTATTGTAGTTTTTAAATTTAAATAATAAATTATGTTTGGCCCTATGAATTTTTGGCTCTCGGTTGGAGACCGTTTTTTATGACAGGACTAAAACGAGCCCTATAGCCATTTGGTTCTCGGTTGGAGATGGAGGCAAATATGACAATATAATGTTCATTAAAATATTAATATCTTGAGGGTAAAAGGGTTCGTTTGAACCCTCTTGCCAGCCTTCGGTTGGAAATGATCTCATCTTTTGCTACATAAATAAAGCTTTCCACCCTCACCCTTCATCCATCGATACAAGCTTGCTTTTAAATCTCTCTCACACATACCTTCATAATGCTTGGTTCCACGCTAGAATTAATCACACAGGCAGCTTCCAACTCCGTGTTCATCTTCTGCATCTGCAACTTGATCATAGTCGTTATCCTCGTGGGATCAAAACCCGTCTCCAACAACGATGAACGAAGCAAAATTCGCATCACAAAGCCCGCCAGCAACCGTGCGGACGATGAACAAGGCATGGAGGCCAAACACGTGTGGAAGGAGAAGAATGGCTTGATGCAGGTCAGTGAATTAGTGTCCAATGAACAGAATGCATCAGCCGACGATGGTAAATTCAGCAGCACCGATGGAGACAGCGACTATGATGAAACTGACACTGATGACGAGCTGAGATCGAGAGCAGAAGAGTTTATAGAAAAGGTTAATAAGGCATGGAAGGCAGAAGTACTGAGAACTTCATGCGTATTCTAGGCAGCAATCTTGTGGTGCAGTAATGAAACTCTACTGTAGCAATGTAAAGAAAAATCATTCAAAGAGAATGTACTATAAGAAAAAAGCACTTACGCTCATAAGCACTTTTGAATGTTTAAGCACTTAAAGTTCGTAAGCAAAGAGTCACAACATCCATTCATATTCCAACATTCAGATAATAAGAACTTGAAGAGATAAATGACGAGTCATGTTTTTCATACATCTAAAAATGCTACATCATACAACACTTGAAATACATGGATACAACAGCCACGTACTTGACGAGCCTGATCACGATCAGACTGACCTAAAACCTACTAAAAAAGACTACCAAATCGGGGTTAAAACGAACACAAGGTACGTTAAGCCTAGTTTGTCCTTCATAAAATAGTCAGACAAGGTTGAGAAAGCCTAGATGTCACTGAGTCTGAACAATACAATTAAGATACAACCGTCACACGAAAGGAAAAAGCATGATCAATAAGAAATTTCACAGTTCGCTTGACCAGAGCCTTTAGATTCCTCTTCCAACAACAATGATTTACTCTCAGAAGCTGAGTTCTTGTAGCTTTGCACGGGATTCAGAGAATTAGAATGATCTCCATGGAAGGAAGGAGCCATCAGAATGGGCTTTACTCCGCCATAGACCTTCATTTCTTCACCAGACACAGCATTGACAATGATAGGGACAATTGACGATGATACAGGCTCGATTCTCTGCTTCTTCGGCTTCTGTTCCAGCTGGTGACCTTGCAGAAAACTGCCCACCACAACCTGATGCAGTCAAAACAGTTCGGAGGAAAAGCATTAATTACAGAATTAGTGTTAGAGAGTAAACTACATTGCCACAACCAATTTCTAACACAATATCGAAGTACTAGATTATTGATGGTCAAAATTACTATATAATTGTATAATGATGTTACCTGCACGGGGCCAGCAGCGATCAGCATACCAGCAAGTCCACCCCCAACCACTCTACCGTCTGGACCTGCCAAAGCAACACTCATGCCACCGGATCTGCTCTTTGTTCCTGCATTCTCAGTTGGTATATACGATCCCGACAAGGAAAGTATCTCAAAGCGGCCCTGTAAAATCAGCAAAAAGAATTTGAGATGTTCTCCTGAGCAACCATGACGTATATACTGTCTTTTCTTCAAGAGAGAGAGCTTCCATGATCATAAAGAAAATACTACTGAAGGTTCTGTTCTTATATATAGAGTGATTTTAATCAAAACACGGCAAGCACGAGACCGATTATGTAAAGAGAAATTTTATTTGAATCTATATAACCTCTTTCTACACCCAATTTAAATTTTAAATGTTAATTGTCTTTTTTATCCTCATGTATAATTACCATCAAGTACAACATGAAATTAATAATAAAACTTAAATTTATCAACAAACACACACCGTATAATTAAACCTACCATCACTCCTTGTTTATCCTACATTCATTCGAGTTCAAACCCTAATAGCTGTTGCAGACACCAAATTTCTTGGATGCTAAACCCTTTCTATGGGTAGAAGTGTTAATAAATTGTTTGGCATATTAGAAAGAATAAACTGTTTCTTTGGTATTACAATTTGTTGCTGTGCTAGTTTGTCCTCCCATATTAAGCAAGCATTAGTTACCGTGCTCTCTGACCTTTCATGATTAAGTTGTTAGCCCATGAAAATTGAGGCCTTTGTTTTACTAGGAAGATTATACGAAAAAGATCAAATAAGATGCACGCATAAGAGATGCCATAAGAGTTGGAAATTTGAAACTTCATGAAAAAATTAAATAAGATGCAGTGAAGCAATTGGTAGGAAAATTCAGAGAAAAATTTCAAAAAGCTGTATCACTAAAGAGCTAAAAGCTAAGAGGAAACAAGGGACTAAAAGCTCTGTTTCAAAGAGCTCAAGGTGGGGAGGGGAGAGAAAGGACCGAAAAGATTTTTGATCTCGAGTTTCCTTGAAAACACAACCTTTGAAGTATCTTCTTATGCTCAAGAAAATCTATTACTCCTACATGCAAATAAAACCACGGGGAGATGAATATCAAGAAAACAAGAAATTTAAAAGTGTTAGGTTTTAAGAAGATTCATAAACAAGTAGAAACTTCACCAAATTATTTAGTTTGGGATTTTATTTTTTAAATGGGTGTAAAAATAAATCTACATTTTGAATTGGGTTTGGGAGGGTATTTAGATAATAATTTTGGGTTTAAAGAGATATTAATTCTTTAATTAAAAATAACAAGGGTTTAAAGAGTAAGTTGGGTGTAAAAAGAAGTTACATGAGTTCAAATAAAATTTCCCTTATGTAAATAGCTTGCAGCTATGAACTTACATTGATACAGTAATAACTAATAACAGATAATTTCAAAGACGGCCACACCGCCATACCTCATATGTTAAAGTACCCCCAGAAGAACTGGCCTGCCTAAGTGTAACATTTGAAATGGTACCATTTGCAGAAAGTATGCAAATAGCTCGAGCTCCTTGTTGAGAGAATGACATGATCTTCATTGTAACATCCTGCAAGAACCAGAATTAGTATCAGAAATCAAGTAAAAGTACAACCCTGATCAAAGCAATAACACTGGAACTCATCCTTTACAAATCTTGAGATAAGGGACCCGAATCAACTTTCTAGCTTGTAATTTTGTTTGATGTTGTTATTTGCTCGTTTTTTAAACGTCTACAAGAATAATAACTGGTTTCATGAATTCTACGATGAAAACCTTTTGTTATCGATTAGAATAGTTGACACAACAGTTTTGTACTGACACGAGTTTTTTTCTTCACATATAACAATTTTCTGATGCATACCTCGCCAGAATGGACAGTAAGGATGTGAGGTGTAAAGTTCGCACCAACCGAGTACGCAATTTTCTCACCTACACAAAAAAAATTAAAAACCGTCAGTAAATCCCAAATCAAATGATCATTTTAAATTGGAATTTTCATAATTAAACGCCCAGAAGTATCCCAATTAGAATTCAAAATGCTAGTTTAATGATCTAATCACCAAAGCAATCAAAAAGACAAAACATTAACAAACAGGAAAAGTCTCATCTAATGAAAACAATACTCGTAAACCTGAAAACGACAATGCCAGGAGATAATTTGTTAGGATAGAGGGTCAAGATGAACAAAGCCCGGAAATTGTTGCCTAGTTCACAAGACGAAAGAATCACCTCAAACCAAAATGATTAACTAATATTTAAAACCCCATTAATTTCATAACAAAGGTCATAGTTTACGCCTAACGGTAATCCTCAGGAGACAGGAGCTTTGAACATAAGGTGAGGTTTCAAAAGTGGAATGGTCAGATTGAAAAGAGTGGTTAACGTCAAAACTGACCCCAAAACATATTAAAATTGTAATTAGGAGCATATAAACCAGGTGTTTATATCACAATTCCCTGCTTGTGCTTTCTAGTTTCTTCATTCTTTTTCTCTTTTCTTTCTTATCTGGTGCAAATTAGACCCGAGTCAGCAGGTGATTAAGAGGTGACCTAATTAGGCAAGTCTAATCCAGGCACGTCAGCCTAATTAGTATACTCTACCTATTGGACAAGCTAGCTACCTCAATCATTCTCTCATTCTGTTTCCTAAAGGCAAAGAGAGTATAATATAAATTGCAGTAGCCAGCAGAAAAAATCAGTAATTCCAATCCACATAAAACACCATTTACTTCCAGATCTGACAAGGGAATCTGATCACAAAGGGTCCACTTGCAAACCAAATCCAACCAACATTCCCTTCAAATCTCACTCTAAAAACACAAATCCAATCCCAAAATTCACACACACAGCAGTAAACATGATACAATCTGTTGACGGGGATTTCTGAATCTGCGTC